CTTTAAGCTGTTGTCGCTGTAACAAGTCTCTGCGATACCGTGGATGTTTTTAAACAATGCACTCTCGGCATTGTTTTTACATTTTATAGTACTCACAGCTTATGTTGTTAGTCTAAACATAAACATAAGAAGAATAATATCAGTTCTTTTTAATACGTCGTTTTGAGATAAATGTCAACATGTTATCCATAGCATATATTCTACTACACTTACTGTTTTCAAAAAACGGTTAAGACTTCATATGTCATAATATTACGTATAAATCTCTCTGTAGCGTAGCAAATGTTAGTCGTCGTGTAAGGGATGAAAATTAAAAAAAAATCGCATATCTGAAATTGTACCCTTTAGCGCAGAGCCTTTTTGAAAGAAAACTCCTCGGCGGGTATATCCATATAATTAAAAAGCAGAGGATTGAAAGGCGCGACTGCACCGCATGTGTCGCATCGCCCCACATGTGCACATGCATATAAGGAAATGTGCATGAGTGATAAACTCACGTTACTCATTTCCTTAACGACGGCAGAGGCTACGTGGCGCTACGAGATATTTTGTGGCTACGAGATATTTTGTGGCATTTTTACGCGGCCGTCCGCACGCTCCCATTCGCGCAAACCTTATTAAGTCATTATTTGCCAACACCATTACAGTAATTGCGTTATATTTCTTTGTAATACATAATGAATATTTGACTTTTATTTATTTGTAATTTTAACCTATATTTGATTAAGTCCTTCGTTTTCATCATACTTATAAAATCTGGGTATGTAGGCCCTCAATAAATGTCATCAAATAAGACCATCTAAAAAGTTACCTCTGAAAAATGCACTGTTCACGGAAATTAAGTGTTAATAGTAATTTCAATGAATTGCGTTATGTATGTTTGTAACATATGACGGTAACTTGCATTTGAGTCCGTCGTTTCTATCATACTAACGAAATCTGGGCATGTGGGCCCTTAATAAATGTTAATACAATTTGTGAATTATAAGTAAATATAATTCACAAATTGTATTAACTATAACTTAAATTAAAATATAATATATGAATATTCGAAAAGTAGTATTAGCGAAACTACATGAACAGTAAGAGACCCATTGGTCTTATTTGAGGACATGTGAGCTCAAATATTAGAAACTACCTAAACCTCTTAAAAATGACACTGTTCACGGAATAAAATGTTCATAGTAAAACATTGCTTACAAAAATACAATATTGTTTTACACTATTAATATAATATATTATGTTAAACTCTTACCTGTCAATGGGGATTTGTATAAACTTAATATCGGCTCTGACAGAAGGGGGCCTGTGGCCTCTGAAAGAAAATTTACAGTTTTAGTAAATCGTCCGTTATGCATACATGAATTAACCAATGCATGAAAGTCGAACTATGGGCGAATTTTTTTTTTATTTCCTTACTGGGAACTTGATTATTTTTCTCGTGATTTATATTGCACTTGTTATTGTAAAGAGTTCTTTTCGAGGAAAAATAAAGGGAGGTTTATTTGTTTATATTTAATTTCATTATTCATTGAACTTGAACCTAAGAATATAATGGATATTTTGATAACCTTCCGCGGCTTTCATGTTTTTGCTTTCGTCCATTTGAATTTCAGTTTTTTGAACAAACTCGTAATGTTTGTTTGGGCACACAAATAAAAGCGCATGTTTGTGTAAACAAAACAAAAAAAAAGTCTATCGAAACAATTCTTAAACGAAATGATATTATAAACTTGAGTTGTATCAATTATTAACCGTTACATTAATTTTAAACCAAAATAAATCACTGTAAAAATAATTATAAATTAGCGACCACTTTCAATAATCTTCATTTTGAGCTTTTTATTACCTCAAGGCATTACGTAGATAAATTTTTATGTTTTTGTTCATTCATACATTAACCACTTGACTTCGAAAAGGTTTCTTACTTATATAGAATTAATGTATTATTTTTTTATTACATATCATATATTTGGAAAAGTGTTTTTTTGTAAAGGATATTTTGAAAGAAGTCATTCCATTTGACCTTGGATTTCGAAGAAACATAACGATACTCCTCAAAATGTATTAGGAATTTTTAGTGAGTGATACTATTTGAAATCGCTTTTGTTTTTTTTTTTTTTAATGAAATAGTTATTGTACCACGACTGTCTTTTCACTTGTACACTTATTCTTCTCCATATGATGAAATATAATATTAATATAGTTTTTATATTTAATTTGTTTATTCTTTTTCTAGTTTTTAATATATATTCCACGGGCGAGAAGTTCTTCCGCTCGCTGAGTAATTTCACATTAAACTTTGCTAACTCGATCCCAAACGAACTCCCGACATCTCGACAAGAATAATGCGAGTCGCGTAAATGCAGGAAAACGCATTAAAGCGCTGAAAAAGCTTGCCCTAAAACAATGGCTCTTTTAATGGAATTCTTCTCGAGTCGTTTTGTTTCGATTGGATTGTCATACTTTTTGGTCCAGGCGTTGTTTGAGTTATAGCGAGAAAGGAGACAAGCGCACGTGAAACGCTGTTCTCACTGTGAAATTCAGTGCATCTAATCGAGAATAATTCATTTTGCTTTGTTGTAAACATTACACTTCAAATACAAAAAGCAAAGAAAAAGTTTTTATTCTCTTATACACTTTGCAAATAATTTTAAATTTAATTTAGTCTATTATTATGTTATATTTGCTATAATAGTAATGCACAAGATAGGAATCTTTGGTTATTTGAAATGTCAAAGCGGAATTGGTATTTAATTTAGAACTGATCTTAGCTGATTTTGGCTGTATATCATATTCACCCATTAAATATATTTCTGTAACAGTAAATCTATTCATTCACTTCATTATTAATTATCCTAATTAAAGGCAAAGTTTTTTCGTAGAGACAAATGAAGAGAAGTGCGTAAGACACGCGTCACCTTCCATAACTTTCGAGAAATAAATTAATTTGCTTCGCCATAATTCTTGGTGGAAGCGTTAGAATGCGGTTTCAACCTTGACTAGTGATTTATTATCATCTCAGATCACACAACGTTATACTTTTAAAAATTCTTTTCACAACGCGACGTTGTTTTATTTCGGTCGAATTCCGAGAATCTTGTGACATTAATATTTCTAGCATTATTTATTTACGAGAGTCAGAAAATAAAAATTCTTGTTCCACAAATGGGTGTTACGTATATTTTTCACATTCAATGCAGATTGTTATTTATACATTCTTTATTATATATGTAAGAAACATTTTGGATTTAACATATGCTATAAATTTAATTGATAAATTCAATTAATCAGGTAGGCCTTTAGAAATAACGTATATTTATATATTTAACTACGTGTAATTTATTCTTCTTTGCGACATTTTATAAAGACGTGCAATAAACACAACGACCACTTTGGCTTTATAAAGGACTGCCAAAGGTCATAGAGCTTTTGCGTTATTCAAATATTATTTTAAGCTCCAAATAATGTTTCACGACGTTGTGTTAATCATAGTCTTAATTAATTGCAGTTGATTTTAGTTCATTGATAATTCAAGTCGCGCCTTCGTAATTTATCATCACACGTATCGCATTAGTTTACGGCGAAATCTAGCTTTTGCTTTTAAAATAACATCTGAAAACAGCAGCTTCGCTACGGCGTGACTCATGAAACGTCGCATATGGGTAATAGTTTCAAAGCTGAATAACAGACCGCTTTTCAGGGTAATATCGAAGCTCACCCTTTAACGTATAATTATGTAAGTAATTGCTTAGGCTTTATGCAAAGGGCGTCTAGTTGGTGTTTTCTTTTCATTGCTTTAATTTTTATGTAAACAACCGTCATTTGTGCCACGTTTCAATTACTTTTATTTCCATTTTTACATTTTAGCGGACGCCATTGAGATTATAGCAGTTGTTTTTATTTATTTACGGATTTACTTCCATATTCGATGTCATCGCTAACGTTAGGATGTGAAATTCTTAAGCGCGCAAAACGTCAATAATTTGAAAATAAAACGCAAGGAACCTATAGAATTATCGTTTGCGACGATGCAGGGTTAATTTATGGTTTAAAATTTAACGTTAATATGCTGGTTAGCAACGTATTTATTCCACCTACGTACGCTTGCACAAATTTTGTCAATTGAGACGTTATCACAACTCGCAGACTGTGTTTGATTAAAGCGAGTTTCCCCTTTAAAGAGGATTAACTTCTTTGCACGGGAACAGTTAAATTTAGATGACATGTTTGAAATATTTGCATTTATTTTGTTGTTATTTTTGATATTTTAAATTCGCTTATTTATTATAAGTATTATTTAATAATCTAAATAAGCTCTCTTGAGCTTCGGTATATTTTATTTATTGCGAAATATCTTTTCCTTTTTGTTTTTGTTTGAAATTTTTTAATTTATTTTTGTCCTATATTGTTTTACCAAAACTGCTCGTTCTTTATTTTTAATATATTTTGTATGTTTATATTCATTGTCATTTATCATAATTATTATTTAATATTATAAGTAAGCTCTATTGAGTTTCGTATATGTTAATTGCGAAATTTCTTCTCCTATTTGTTTTTGAATTTTTACTCCGTATTAGATAATTACAAAGTTTAACGGTCGACTTTCAGGGCATGGTAAGCGTCATGTACACTCACCTCCGCATATCAAAGACATCGCTGCTGTTTTATTATACCCGGTTCTCAAAATTACTACTTATCCCTAATCCTAACTAGCGCGTCTACTTTACACTTTAAAAGCTCCCCTACAATATTTTTTAAACTCTATTTAAAGGCGACAAGGCAATCGAACATTACAATTTGTACTCGGGACAAGTTAACGCTTCACCACGACCGCCGACTTGCAATCAAACTTTCCCAAAACAAAATACAACTACGTACGACTGTTAAAAAATCTCACTAAAAAATTACACGCCTCCCCAGAACGCGTTTACAAAACTTTTGTCGCTTCGTCAATACACGCTTGCACTTGCGAAATTAATACATCAAAACTCGAACTAAACGAAGGGCGCGCGGCGTGTTATCATAAGCGGGGGGTCATAGTGGCGGGTTGGTTGCGAAGTCGGGCCGCGGTTGCCGCCGGTGGTCGTCGGTTGTGTGCGCGGCGGTCGGAGGCGCGACTGGCGGCTGGCCGGCCGGCGCGTGACGTCATGCGGGGAGGCGCGACATGCGCATGCGTCCGGCGGAAACGCATGCGCGCCCGCCCGCCCCACGTGCACCGCCGGCGCGCCACTTGTCAAAACTTATCAACAACGTCCTGCGTGAGTCGCAACTCACTACGAACTACGAACTACGAACTATTTTACCGTGAGCGGTTCGGAATAAATTCGGATAAAACCTGTGTGTTAAATGAGATATTCGCTTATTATGTTTGGTGAATCATTCTTATCACTTAGTTTCTCTTGACGTTTTGCCACGTACTTCTTTACGAGAGAGTGGTTCAAAAAAGACTCGGACGGAATACCTGTATTTTAAAGGCGATATTTGCTTATGACGTGTCTGAAACTAATGACATAAAAGCCTCGGTACGAGGCATTCATGTCATTTAGTTTCTTGAGACGTTTCGGAAGTCGCTAGAAACTTTTTTACGCGTGAATGGTTTAGAATACACTCGATAAAACCTGTATTTTAAATGCGATGTGGTGAGTTTACAGTGACTTTCTTGTCATTTAGTTTCTTGAGACGTTTCGGAACTCGCTACGAACTTATTTACGCGTGAATGATTCGAAATACACTAGGACGGGATAAAACCTGATATATATTTCAAATGTGATTTTAGCTTATGACGAGTCTAGCGAGGCGTTCTTGTCGTACGTTTGTTGTGACGTTTCAGTCAAATTCACTAAGAGCGTTCAGAGAGTCGCTAGTTACGGGCCGCGGTAACAAATGGAAATAGCTTTTTAATACAGTTTCTCAAAAAGTGGCTTATTGCAAGGACGTATAGCGTTCGGGATGTGGGCTATTACGTGCGTTCTATTTCCCAACTGTCAAAATAATGTGTATTAAAAGAAAAAACCAACCACGAAGTTTTTACAAAATAAATTCATAAGAAGTTTTTATGATTCATGCAAATATTTCTAAAAAGAAGCTACTAATTTGTTTCAATATCAGATTTAATGATTTGATTCAATGAGTTAGGTTAGGTTTCATTTCATTTCCTCATTAAATTCATTTTCATTTCATATCAATCAAAAAAATCTACTGAAGACTTGGCCATATGGGCATAGTTCCCTTTGCCTACCCAGAATGGATGAAGAAAACAAAAAATATCTCTACTTATATTCTTATACGGTTAGCGCCATTTTCCAAAAATTTTCTTTACTGTGTTTTTATTAATTCTATTACATTGCTTAATTTTTTAGCAACTGTATGAAAAATATTTGTTCAGTACACGTGCGGAACCGTCATTGCAACCTGTTCAGACTGTCAACCCTCACCTTCAGCTGCGCCTCGGCTCGGGTGGACATTTGTCGGAACTCTTTACAATGACAGGCTTTCCGCACTCATAATTATTAAATATTTATATAATGCTAGTATATATCACACATTGTAAATAAAACTATTTTACATAATTATCTTGCATTAAACAAATGAAACGTGATAAAAGCCATATAACAGTTTCATTGACATTGATGGTGCTGAGACCAGTAATCTTGTCTTGCTAGAACGATCTTATGTGAATTCTTAATTGGAACACAAGCTGTTCTATAATATCCGCACTAACGGCCTAGTTGAGTTTTCACACTAACATATGAGAATAAAATACGTCGCATTTGAGTATTCAAGCTCACAGAGTAGTCACGTTTTCTCTGGGAAGTTCCACAATTGTTCCCTCAGAACGAAATTTATCGCGTCCATTATTTTGTAATAGAAAAGTTACGCAGTATAATGCTCCAATATAATTATGATCGCTTGTTAGCCCTTCGTTTTGTCTAAGAGTAGCCTAATCAATATATCGATTTGAAAAACCACTTTTTACCCTTACAAGGGTCGATTGGTAGAGAATACCATTAGGCACTAAGTCCACCCATTGTACCCCTAAGCTTAAGGCATAGCAATGAAGCTTTAAAAGAAAGAAGCTTTGAAATAATACTTACTTATATAATTGTGTAACTTAGTACAAAAGTATTACATATGTACTCAAAATATGTATTACATAGTAATCCATACTAATATTATAAATGCGAAAGTAACTCTGTCTTTCCGTCTCTTTCACGCCTAAACTACTAAACCCATTTAAATGAAATTTGATACACAGATTGTCTAGAGCCTGAAAAAGGACATATAAGGCTATTTTTTAATTGGAAAAAAGTGTTGTAAAGTTTTGAATGATATTTGTTTAAGGGCTTCAAAGCGAGCGAGGCTAATCAGATTTAAATCTTACGAACTTAATCGATTAACTGTATACACCAACCACATTGAAATAGTTTAACTTGCCGTGTTAGTTACCCTAATAAGATAAAACAATTTCAAGCAGGGATACCGACACGTGTGACAAAAATGGAGTCAGTTGAACAATTAAGCTTACAGCTTATGATTACAATTTGAAGACTTACAAACCACACTTTGATTTTCAATATAGATGCGATACGTGTATATAAAGTAATATCATAATTATATATCTCCCACTACCGGGCAAAGGCCTCCTCTGTACAGAGTGTATCAGGGTATAGTCCACCACACGACTCCTTTGCGATTGGGATTTACATATATGTATTTCATGTTTATTTATGTGATTACTCTTATTGACTGCCTCATCCAAGTACTCTGTCTTTCCCCTTTTGTTTAAACTTATTTAGAAAGTAATTTGTATATTACTTTCTACCTACAAAAAAAAACTATAAAATAATATGAAGCATATTAATTTTATGACAATAGATTATATAGAAGAAATGCTGTTATTGAGCTTTGTATAGCACGGAACACTTTTTTTTTAAATATTTCTATACACAGCAACACAACGGTGGTTTAGTGTATTTGAAATGTTTTACGCCCATCACTATTTTGCTGTGTGGTTGTACTGATGGAAAGCTTTATTCATATTCATTGGTTTGGCTTAGCGCAAGTGTTAGGTTTACATAGTAATTTTAATTTGGGAGGCGTTTGTCAAAACGTACTTGAGATATATTGTTGTGTTCATATAGGGAGACAGTGGTGACAACGATATTATGAAGATGTAAAATATACTAATAGATCTAATTTAGTGGATAATTTTTGGTAATTATGAACCGACTCTACATAAAACCTACTAAAACAGACTATATCAATCTTAAATAAAACAGACCATATTTTTTAATTATATATCATCATATAAGTAGATAAAGATAGAACTGAATAAGTTGACAGTGGCCATATAACCATTGTTGATTGTCATTTTAACTTAGATTTGTTTACCCATGCGAAGTTATGACGAGGCAGCTAGTTATTTGTATAGGAGCGTTGTCGTCATTGTTCCAGGCCGTCGTGTAGCTGACGGCTATGCTGTTTATTAATGAGATGTAACGTCGAAGTAATTATGAATAAATACATTGTTTAAAGGGTGATGAATGGGCCTGTTCTACTTACGATAACATTAAGTATAAAAGTAATAGTAAAGAAAGTTACTTGGCTTCTGTGCTTATCTACATTAATATAAATTATATAATCTAAATAATAGTTTTAGCATATACTCAATGTTATATTGGTACCCCAGTCATCAAGTCTGAAATTAAAGGAAGAAAACGTTATTAGTTAGTATTTATGAAAAGGTAGAGAGCTAAATCATTATAAATTCGCTAACTTTACCAGCTTGTGCCCGAATTCTATTTGAAATATCCGAGCTTCACATTTTTAATGTTACCTCACTAAGACCCTTTGTATTAGCATAAAGATACATTAACTTATTGACCAACATGCTCATACCTTACTAATATTTTTTTATTGTAGTTACGAAATTGTTTATTTATTTCATTAATAAATATAACTAACCGACAACTTTATTCCTAAATTTATTCCAATCCGTCCAAAGGTTGCCTGGAAGATATTACTTTTAATAAGAAGGTCGCCCATTTTTAATCTAAAAGTTAAGTTATTGTTCTTGTATATTTTATTTTGGTGTGCATTAAAGAATATTTATCATTATTGTTAACATTTGTTAACTCTGGTTCGTCAAAGTACATATTATTAGATATTCTGTATCCCAAAGATATTGAAAAATATGCTACTTTCGTATATTAATTAGAAGATAAAAAAGAACAATTTAACGTATGAAATATCTAAATACCTATATATAAATACCTATCAATTCGTCTTGTTAGGGCAATATGGCACGTCTCTCCTTGTCGCCTGGAAATTTTTAGAATAAAAGCAGCAAATTGTGATTATAGCCTTGGATGTAGGCCAGGAATACAAACGTATCGCACGAAAGTTATAAACTTTGTGCGTCAATACTTTCATAGAATATATACGTACGAAATACTGTAATACGGTAATTTAATGGTAGGTATGTTAAATTAAAACATAAATGTAAAATAAACAAGTTGATAATAAAATGCCACTTGTTATTCGTTTTATTTCTATTCAAATATATTTCACTGTAATATAAATTGCTGGAAAAATAGTCTATCTGGTTTTTTAGTACATCAATAAAATACAGTAAATACTAAGGCTTTCTTTTGTCACAGCGAATCTCGTACAGATTCCGCGTCTTTAATATTATAATTTTACTGTGTAGGGCCACGCAAACGTAAGTACCACGACCACACAGAAAACCGGCGAGAAATGGAAGTGCCACACCTCTGCGTTTCGTCCGGTAAGTGGGGTAGCCGGGGCCCACTTTATTAAAAGGTAGCAATGCATCTGGAACTCTACTGGTGCTGTGAATTTCCCTGGGCAGCACTTATCACTTAACATCAGGTGAACCGCCAGCTCGCTTGCCAAGTTCTGACGTATAAAAATTAAGAAAAAATACTATTAATTACAAATAATGTAGCCATAATGACATTGATATCATTAAAATAATGGTGAAAACTACTGTATCACTTCACATCACGTTATGAGAGAGTCTTATCGCCAGACTTGTTCGGGATTTCGCAAACTCCATAAAAGTATACACCACTCTACAAATAGCGGGTTCGACTTGTTATATTCGCGGTAAAGGTCGAATGCAAAAAAGAATGTCAAATACAATCATTTTTATTTTACTGCGCTGAAATGAAAATCATTCAACTGAGAGCTTCAATTTATTTACGATTGGTTTTTTAC